CTCATATTTAACATGGCCAAAATTTAGTACCTTTTTCATCCTGGGGCCCTCAGGAGGCCCGAAAATCAAAGCAAGATGAATGTCCCATTCTGTTTCTTTTTTTTTTAAAGCAAAGAAACTCAAACAAGTTTATTTTTGAGCCAATCCTGGCATTGCTTTTTTCGGAGGGGGGGGCTGCTCCTTGTTGTAAAAAAAAGAACCAGATCTTCCAAGGAACTGCAAAACAGCCCTTCGCTTCTTCCTTATTAGAGGAGAAAAGTTTTGTGTGTCCAGGAGGCTCTGAGGTTACCACACGTGGCCTGTTTGTTAAAAAAAAAACAAAAAAAAAAAACAGATCTTCCAAGGGACTGCAAAACAGCCCTTCACTTCTTCCTTATTAGAAGAGAAAAGTTTTGTGTGTCCAGGAGGCCCTGGGGTTACCACACGTGGCCTACGTGTTTCCCAGCCACCGTTATCTTTTAAAAGGTGATTGCTGCCTTTTTTGGGATGCTTAAGGGCCTCATCTCCTAGAGGAAGTTAGGGATGTGAAAAATGGATCCGTTGATATATTTTTAAGCCTCCGAGCGGCTTCCTTGTCCCTTCGGAGTTCCTTACTGAGTCATGAAAGTTTTTAACGTCAGCATCCCTGCATGAAAATGGGTGTACCTTTCAGTAAGCATCTTTTCTTCCCGTATGCATTTTAATATTTTTTGTTTCATCTTCTTGGCGCCTTTCCCTGAATCAACTAAAGCATGTTTGCGTTCATTTTCCAGTCATCTCTCTTCTCAATTACATGCATTTATTTCTGTATGATTGAGTGGGGTTGGGTGGGTGGAAGGACTCTGAGTCTCACAACTCCCTCGACACCAGAGGTGGGCCCTCCAGAGACGACCGGCTGCACGCAGCCCTCGGTTGCCCACGTATGGCCTCCCAGCAGCCACATATCTACCATCCAATTTTGAAAAACTTTTGCCAGAAAGCCCCAGGAATTCATGGAGGCCGTGGGCCTCTGTAGGTCACCTGTCGTTGCTTAGATGACAGGGGACTGGAAAGAGAGGTGCCTGCTTTCATTAGTAATTTCCCGGAGCACGCATTCGATAAATTTCATTTTAAAAATTTCGGTGGATGCGAATTTGTTTTCCCTTCCCAGCTGACAAGACTGTGAAGCGCCCTCTGCAGGCCCACAGAAGGAATTACATTTGTAATATCAGCCCCTGCAAGGTGACTGCTGGGAGGAGGCAGTGTGGAGTGGCGGGGAGTGTTTTAAACTGGGTCTCAGGAGGCTTGGGTTCAAATCTCTGCTCAAATCTCTGGGGAATAGATGGTCCTCCAGATGCCCAAGTCAGCATAGCCTAAGATCTGACATGCTGGGAGTCGTACGCCCATTTTGCTGAAATAAAAGCCCTTGAATCTGCCTCTTGGTAATTAAAAATGATCCATTAATTATATTTCATTGCTCACAGTAGTATTATATCCCCTCATAAAATAGTCTCACAAGGAAGATTACATGCGTGCGTATGCGCACACACACACACACACACACACACAATACCAGGCAGCTGGACCAGTCTCTATTAACAAAGGAAGGGCTGGTCTTTTGTAAAGGCAATGGCTCTTAATCGACAGGGAACATATTCACCCTGAAGGGTCAGAAATTCCCATCCGAGGACCTTAGAGAGCAGTATCTTCTACGACCGCCTGCAGCTGGAAACCAGTTGTGATGGAAAGGGTGGGGTTTCTCTTTTACAAACTAGAAAAGCCCCCTCACTCCCTGTAGTGGCCAATTCTCTCTCTCACACACACAAACACACACACACGAGTTTTTGAGCCCTCTCAAAATAGGGAAAACTGACCCCCACACCCGCTAGGGGGTTTTGTGAGCTAAAGAATCGCTTTAAAAAGATTAGCAGGTATTGGAAGTCCTAGTGGGGGGGGGTTGGGGCTGTGTGGGCCACCCGCGGGCCACCCCGATCCACGCCTGGCTATCTGCACGGCGCCGCCCGTCGACGGCATCATGACGACACTGTTGCACCCGGTTGGCTCTCCCCATTTTGCTTGATTCCCTTTCAACCTCTTTCGACTCTTTTGCATGCGAGACCGAAATTTCGGGCCGAGACTCTACTGCCGCAGACACACAAAAATAACCCAATCAAAACCTCATTCTGGAGATGCTGTTCACTCTAATTCTTCACCGGTTCAGGTACCTTTCATCTGAATTCTTAGGTTCTGTGGGGTTCACCATTAACAAAATAGAAAGAAAGAAAAAAAGGACGCTGTTTCTTTAAGATACCAATGAAATAATACAATATTTTCTAAAGTTTCATTTTTTTTCCTTGTCGACGGAGGGAAAAGGCAGGGGGAGAAAAGGGGAAGGAAAAAAAGAACCATACTCCACTGCCACTTTAAGATGGGTTGACTTTAGGAGAAGTTGCCATAAATACTGGCTGATTCAGCTCCTTCCTGAAGAATTAAGGTGAAGAGCATTTGATGTGGCTGCTGTGGTTTTGTGTCTTTTCTGTTTCAGTTTCTTTATGTTGATTGGCTTTCCTAGCATGATCGTCTTTCCCACTCCAGTATTGGCCTGTGAATGCTCTTACTTTGCAGTAACGACGGGATCTCTTAAGTAACCCTCTGCTCATTGTTCCTTTTTCTCCTCCAAAATTTTCCTTTTTTGGGGGGGGAAGGGGGATTAAAAACTCTGCATCCATTGACCGAAGTCATTATGTGGAAGGGAGCGATGCAGTCATTTTGTGGGTTTTTCTTTCTTTCTTTAAATCCCTCTCTTTCCTACCCAAAATTTGGAAGCCACATCGTCAAACAAGACCCCCCCTCCGCCTTTTGCTTGCGCGTTTTCCGTCCCGCTCGCTCCGTTGCCTTAATAGACATGGTGGATGAGCTGAAGGCCAGGCATTTATGAAAGGTGTAGTTTCTGTGTTTATTTCATACAGTAGAAGTCCCCTTATCTGTGGGGATCGGATCCAAGCCCCCTCACCCGCAGATACCGAAAACCGCAGATTAGAACAAACACTATTATAATAGCGAAAGCTATTCTCTGGCTCCCTCTAGTGGCTAGTTCTGGTAACGTCATTGCTAAAAATATATATATTGGGGAGATTTTTTAATATTTTCAGACCGTGGATAAGTGAATCCGTGGATACTGATCCAGCAGATAAGGGGATCCTACTGTACTTAAAAACAGATACGAAGCAGAGGCGGTAAGAATTTTCGGGGGGGGGACACAATGTGCACCGTGGCTGCCTTTGGTCCATTTTGATAATAATAATACTGTAATTTTAAAATTTTAAGAATGAAATCAATCAAATCCAGTAGAACAGTACGGGGGAGAGATTGGGTGGGGAGTGGTGTTTGGAAAATCAGCCTTCCCAGAATCTCCCCGAGGGCAGAGGCACGGAGGCGTAGGATCTGGGAATGAATGTCAGGCTGGAAAAAGAAAGCCGCCCCTCCCACCTGCCCCCCATGTTCTAGGGGGCCCCAGAAATCTAATGTTCTTTTTTTTCCTTCCTCCCCCCCTGGCCTCGTCCCAGTTCCAGCTGTGTGAAACAATTTCTGAGAAGGGGCCTGAAGGCTTTCGGCATCAGCGTTAACGGCCGTCCTTTCCTCTCTTCCTCAGATGCGGGGGACATGTCAGAGAGCCAAGGCACCGGCCTCTTCTCCTGGCAGCTGGATCCGTGCGGCGTCTCCTGCTCCACAGGCGGCTCTCCTTGGGACCTGCCCAGCTGCTGTAGCTGCATCCACGACAGGTGACTTGGGGGGCTTACGAGGGAGTCTCTTTCCAGATGTGTGCTGATCTGTCTCCATCCCCAAGTTGTGCATTTCTCCTTCCCCAAAGAAGTTCTCTCTGTCGGGGTCGTTTCCAGGAACGCTAGTGGAACTTTTCCCAGATCTGAAAAAGAGGAAGTCTTAGAGTCAGACTACATTGGAAGGAAATGCAGGAAACTCTACAGCTTTCTCCCTCCACCCCATTGATCGCACAATACAAAGCGAGACATGAATCAGTCCAGAGCCACCCTTCCCAAATCTGTAGTCCCCTCTCCCCGTTGCAGCTTCTACTTTTTCATACAGTAGATCAATTCACATCGGTTGAGGCCGGTGATTGCTTGAACCAATGCGGAAGAGTCGTTCCGCCAGCAAAGCCCATGGGCAAGATTTTCTTTCTTTCTTTCTTTCTTTCTTTCTTTCTTTCTTTCCTTTCCTTTCCTTTCCTTTCCTTTCCTTTCCTTTCCTTTCCTTTCCTTTCCTTTCCTTTCCTTTCCTTTCCTTTCCTTTCCTTTCCTTTCCTTTCCTTTCCTTTCCTTTCCTTTCCTTTCCTTTCCTTTCCTTTCCTTTCCTTTCCTTTCCTTTCCTTTCCTTTCCTTTCCTTTCCTTCTTCCTCCTTTCCTTTCCTTTCCTTTCCTTTCCTTTCCTTTCCTTTCCTTTCCTTTCCTTTTTACAGTTATAGGTGAAGCAAAGCTTCTCTTAGAAAAAATATTTAAAGAAAAATCCTAGCAATGTATATTTTTAAAGTTGAAATTACAAGAACTGGCCACCAGGGGGAGCCAGAGACCATGCTATGTCTAGCGGTTGCTAGAGAAAATTTTTCCACCGTGTCAGAGGGAGCCAGAGACCATGCTATGTCTAGCCGTTGCTAGAGAAAATTGTTCCATCATGTCGTTATCAGAATTGGTCACTAGAGGGAACTAGAGACTGTGCAATTTAGAGTGTTCACTATTAAAATAGTATTTACTCTAATCCGCATTTTTCAGCATCCGCAGGGGGAACTTGGAACCGATCCCCTACAGATAGAGAGTCCTACTGTAATTTATTTTAAAAACACCTTCGTGCTGCACTCTTGTGCTAGAGCACTTAGACACCAAAACAGCAAAAGAAGAAAAAAGCTAACCAGAGGAGGAAACCAGAGGAGGATAACCCTTTATTGCAGCTTGTTAAGACACTTCCTTTTAACTTTCCAATGTACAGAACAGCAAACAAAACTTTTCTTGTTAAAAGCACTTAAAGCAAAGAACTTCCAATTTCCTGCTCCGATGTCTTAGCAAGGGAACACACATGAATTCCCTTGTTTTCTAGTTGCACACTTCCTTACTTGTGAAAATGTCTCTGTGTTGAAGGTACAGAAGGCTTTTCTGGCGTCCGCCTTGTGACAGCCTCAACGCTCGTGACAGAGCGCAAGGTGGCGCTTGGTGGTTCTCCCCCTTCAACATTTCGTTTAGGGCACACCCTGCTGCTGGTAAAAATAACTAACAGGTTATAGTTGCATTTGCTAGATCTTCTTTTGTCCACGTGGTGGGGCATAAATTGTATGTGTGTAAGTGCTGCCTTGATTGAATTTCTCCACAGTCACAGAAAATTTGTCCTGTATTGCGGGGAACTTCTAGGGAAGGGCTTGGTGTCCGGCTATTTTTTTAAAACTCCAGTGCCCATCCTCCCCATTCAGGAAGATGGGACAGGTAGGCGGACAGTCATTGGAGGGCCAAGTGTCAAGTTAAGAGCAGGGGACACCCATGTTGGAGACACCCACGTGGCTGCAAAGCTGACCAGGTGGTGTTAAGTTGAAAGAGAGTGGCTGGTCTACCTTGCCGGGTTGTCGTGCAGATCGCGTGCCAACAGAGCTCAGTTTGTACTATCCTGACTCGCTTTTAGGAAAAGTGGGGTAAAAGGGATGACGTATTTAGCATTTCGGGTATTTGTTCCAATAGGATGCCACTGAAGATGCTGTGCCGAAATATGAAGAGACAAATTGTTTCCAGAGCCTTCTATGGATGTAAGTACCTCTTCGGGAGCGGGGGGGAGGCTACCGAGAGAGGGACTGTTCGTCATGGGCTGCAAAAATCTGATTCCGCCCCCCTCCCTCTCAATTTCTGGTTCCTCTAGCAAAATCATCTTGACTTAGGGCCTGGTTACACTGCTGATTTGTAGCAATTTCAGCTCCGCAGTATTTCAAATACGTAGAATCATAGAAAAGTGAAGTTGGAAGGGGCCTCCAAGGCCATCAAGTCCAACCCCCTGCTCAGTGCAGGAATACAAATCAAAGGATCTCTGCCTGCTGATCATCTACGTTTTTCTTGAATGCCTCCAATGTTGGAGCACTCTCCAACTCCCGAGGTCACTGGTTCCGTTGTTGTGCTGTTCTAACAGTTTGGAAGTTTTTTCTGATATTCAGCCGAAATCTGGCTTCCTTTAACTTGTCCCCATTGTTGCTTGTCCTGCACTCTGAGATGATGGAGAATTCCCGTCACATGGTTTTATATAGCAGTGTGCACGTTCAGTTTGGAAATAGCCATTCCCATTTAAATTGCAGCTTTTCAACAAGTACGGAAGGCCCATTCATGCTATGTGTGCATATTTTTTGCCAGTAGATTTGCAGTCCGTAAAGTTTCCATTCAGTGGACTATCCTCTCTCTTTTTAAAAAAATAAGCGAGTGACAGAGCACTGATCTTTTTGATAGAATTTTTTTTTTTAAAAAAAGAGATGTACAGCACTGCCAAAACTGTCTGAAACCCTGAAGCAGCACACAGACGCACAATAATGTACAATGACGGTAGCATTCACATTGGCCAAACCTATATGCAGAGAATCAATTTAAATAGTGGTGTAGAATAGGACCCCCCCCATATTCACAGGGGATTTGTTCCAAGCCCCCTGCGGATGCTGAAAACCATGAATAATTGCAAACACTATATTATATAAAACCATGAATAATAGCAAACACTATATAGTCGTGCCCCACTTAACGATTGTCCCGCATTACGATGAATCCGCTTTACGATGATCTTTTGCGATTGCAATTGCAATTGCAAAACAGTGGTCTAAATGGGGGGATTTCCCTTAGCTTAGTGATGATCGGTTCCCTGCTTTGGGAACCGATTTTCGCTTTACAACGATGAAAAAACAGCTGTTGGGTTTTCAAAATGGCCACTGGGTGCTTAAAATGGCTCCCCGCTGTGCTTAAGGACAGATTCCTCACTATAAGGCTCCGAAAATGGCTGCCGTATGGAGGATCTTTGCTGGACGGTGAGTTTTTACCCCATTGGAACACATTGAACGGTTTTCAATGCATTTCAATGGGGTTTTTATTTTCGCTTTACAATGTTCTTGCTTAACAGCGATTTTCCTGGAACAGATTATCGTCGTTAAGCGAGGCACCACTGTATTATATATAGTACAGTAAAAGAGAAAATCCAGAAAAGAAATAGTTTCACCATGTATTACCAGAACTGGTCAGTTGAGGGAGGCAGTGACCATTATATGTATTGTTTGACAAGAATACATAGCATTGTCTCTGGCGACCTCTAGCGACTAAATGTTTCTTTTTAAATGTTTTTAATATTTTTGGACTGTGGATAAGTGAAACCGCAGATACCAATCCCACAGACACAGGAGTCTGGCTGTATTTTCTTAAAAAACCCACCTCCTTCTCCCCAAAAACTTACATTTTGACCAAAAAAAAACTTGTGCTTCATGTGTTGTGTAGTCAGGATTTTTAAAATTGATTTTATTTATGCAAACCCTGATTCTTATTGTCCATTTTAACCATACCCTTATTTTCAAACTGCTTTTTCTCAATTTTACCTTTGATCCAGGCCTTGAGTTGGGGGTTTGGAAACGTTAGTTTTAAAAATGGAGAATGATTGGTGTTAGAAGTGACAAAATCAGTTTTAGCATCTATTAATTAGTGAACATTTTTTTAACAAAAATCGTGGAAACATTATCGACTCACCCTTGAGTTGTTTTCACAGAATAAAATGCTTCAATTTAATTCAAAACTCTCTCTTTCTTGATGGACATTATTTTTGAACCTTGGATGAAACCAGTTGCCAGTACTTAGTCGGGAGGTACATTTCAAGGTAAACTTTTAAAGAGCAAGTGCAGAGTTGCTTTATAGGTTCTGATGATGACCACTTTGTGGGTACTTCCAAAAATTGCTTTTAAAAGGCAATTTAGAGGCTTTGTGAGAGAAATTCGTCAAATGTGTTGTTTTGAGCCTTTTCTCAATCGGCGAAGAAGATTGCAATACCTTAAAGATTACAGTGGTGCCCCGCATAGCGAGGTTAATCCGTTCCGGATTAACCATCACTATGGCGAAACTTCGCTGTATGGGAAGTAAAAACCCATTGGAACGCATTAAACTTCGTTTAATGCATTCCAATGGCTTCTAAACTTACCATTCAGCGAAGTTTCTCCATAGCGCAGGCATTTTCGCGCCCTCGTCCATTTTGGGGCTTCCAGCGGCCATTTTGGACCGCCAATCAGCTGATTCCCAGGCATCACAATGTGAAGATCGGTAAGTGAAACACTTAACGATTATCGCAGAGCGATTTTCGCCCATACGGGCCATCGGTATGCGATCGTGTTTGCGATCGGAAAAACCTCGGTATGCGGATTCGTCGTTCAACGGTGCGCTCATTAAGTGAGGCACCACTGTACTAAATTGTATTTTGGCCTAAGCGTCTGTGAACGGTAGCCTAGTTGGCTAAACTCTGTGGCAGCTTATTTTAGATAAAACTAGTAGTCTTCGCTGTTTTGCTTTATCAAGAAGTGACTTCCAAACTTGGCAAGGCTGTCTGGAGCCAGACACATCTGGAAGCCCCGGGGGTGGGGGGGACAGGCTGAATTGTGAGCTAACAATTGAATTTCCCTTCCAGGCCCAACTGTGCTTGACGTTCAATGTCTATAAGCAGGTCCTTTTAATCCATAAAGACCCCCTGTATCCGTGGGATCCATATCCACAGTTTCACCTATCCATGGGCTGTGAACATTAAAAGAAATAACTCAGAAATAACGTATTTTTTCCATGTACGAGACTATACTTTTGTCTAAAATCTTCAGACTAAAAATGGGGGGGGCGTCTTATACACAGAAGTAAGCAGAGGAGAGAACAAAAACAAATGGAGGGGAAAGCAGGGATCAAAGTGATCCTGCAGCGCTTTGATCCCTTTCCCCCCACTCTTGCTAAGCCCCACTTAGATTACTTAATTTTGGATTAGAAAAGTCGGGGGGTGTCTTATACATGGGGGGTATTTTATACACGGAAAAATACAGGTATGTACTTCCTGGGTGTAATTACCAGAACCGGCCACTAGAGGGAAACAGAGACAATGCAATAGATAGGGTTTGCTCCGTATTATCTGCGGGGTTTTGGCATCCACGGGAGGGGACTTGGAGCCAACACATTTCAAGGCAGGAAAATGGGGAAAACCTTCCACGTTGGAAGCTGTTGTCTTGCATCCCCAGGGCTCGCGTACTGCCGCCACCTGTCCACCGTCCGGACGCACCTGTCTGCTCTCGTGAACCACACCATCATCCCGCCAGACAAACCCACCAGCGCCGTGGGAGGCTTGACCAAAGAGGTCTGGAGCAAATACCAGAAAGATAAGAAGGTAACGTGGGTCTGTGTGCGCCTGCCTTTGTCTTGTCTCCTCGTGTTTTCTACCCGCCGCCATAACGTAGATACACACAACCGCAGCCATATTACGGTTGCATCCACACGTGGAGAGCCACGCATGCCAGGCCACAGAGGCTTGCCCACAAATGCAGAGCCGTGGACACACCGCCCCAGCCATGCACTCGCCTCCGAAGACGCATGGCCTTTACCGCCAAAGAAACTCAGCTGCACACGTTCCCGTGGGGTTGTAGCTGAGCACAACCACATGCTACGCAACCCCATAGATGCTCGCCACACCTCCCTGCAGACGGATACACTTATCCGTGCAGGCCGGTGCAGATCCGTGGATGCCTAGCCACGGCCACACGGCTGCTCACATCTGCATGCAGCCAAAAAAAAACCTAGAACACACTTTGCTTTTTTTAAAAAAAACTTCTCTCAGTGGCCCGCACCAGGATCGTCTGCTCGACAAAACCGCCTGCGTTTGCGAGAAAGGGTGTTTGTGCCGACAGAAATGGCGCCCACGTTCTCAGAGGCTTTGTTTCTCGAAAGGGTTAAGGACCAGAAGCATGGGGTGGGTTGTGTGTGTCTTTTTCAACCCTCCACTCGTCCCCCTCGGCTTTCTGCAGGACATCCCTTTTTTTGCTTTCCAAACGGAAACAACAATCCTTTACATGCACAGCGGGAACCATGAGGGATCCTGGGGGGGGGGCGGCTGAACCAGGGGGTCTCGGCGCCTTAAATTGCTAGGAGTACGAAACTGAGGCAAATAAGCCACAGATTCTCCTTTTTAAGAGGCCCTGCCCTAGAGGTTTATTTCCCCATCTTTTTTTTCTTTTAAAGGAGAGAAAACTCAGAAGCGGTTAGGCGAGGCTGAGTCTCCTTAAGGAGAGCCTGTTGGTGGCCGGCCGGCATGCCAACAGATCCAGCTGGTTTTGCCCAATCCTAACAGTTCGTTGGGGTGGATGAATTTGACCCTGGATGACCCCCCTCTCCCACCACCACCACACCTTCCTTCCCCCCACCCCAGAGAAAAACCCCTTTGCCTCTTTCTTGTTTCCAATCTCAGAATTATAAGGAGCTGGAACTGCTCCGGCGCGTTTACTACGGCGGAGTTCAGCACGAAATTCGGAAGGAGGTGTGGCCATTCTTGCTGGGACACTACACGTTTGGCATGGGGAAGAAGGAGATGAGCCAGGTGAGTTGCGCCTTCAGCAGGCGGAGGAAATCAGATCACCCCCACCCTCCACGGGGGGGTCTTGAGCCCAATGGCTGGTAGGTGTAGTGGTTATGAATTCATTTTACCGCAGGACTGCGGTCTCCGCATGGGGTCAGTTCCAAACCCACCCACCCCCCTACCCCCAGTGGATGTTGAAAAATGTGGAAGTATCGCACACTAGACATGGCATGGTCTCTGGCTCCCTCTAGTGGCCAGTTCTGCACCATACAGTAGGACCCCCCTATCCACAGGATCAGTATCCACTGGTTCACTTATCTGCTGGCTGAAAATACTAAATTATAAATCCCAGAAATGCCACTCTATAGGTGTTTCTGGGGTGTATTACTAGAACTGGCCCCTAGAGGGAGCCAGAGGCCCTGAAATGTATAGCGTTTGATACATCTGCTGTTTTCAGCATCCGCTGGCAGGCTTGAAACCAATCCCCTCCGGATACCACAGTCCTTCTGTACACCCTGTAAGTACATACATATATATACAGATTTCTGGTGGTTTTATTTTGTATTTTCAGCCAACAGAGAAGTGAATCAGTGGATACTGATTCTGCAGATAGGGGGATTTTATTGTGTATCTTCCCTGCCTCATGAAAGGTCAGGGTAGCTTACCCTGTATGGGACTGATCCCTCCTTTCCAGGGGAGATCTCCTTAAGGTAGAGGCAGAGAAGGGATCAGGTTTTTGACTGGATGGTGAGCACATAGCAACTTGGCTCGGTAATAGCATTGAGTGAGAAGGATCTTGGAATTGTTGTGCATGAAAAGCCGAAGATGAGCCAACAGGGTGATGTGGCTGCAAGAAAGGCCAATGTGATCTTAGGCTAGATTAACAGAAATCTCCAAATCCCAGCACTGGTTGAGGCTCATCTTGAGTCTTGTATCCAGTTCTGGACACCACACTTTAAGAAGGATGCCAACAAACTGGAGCAAGTTCAGAGGAGGGCGACAAGGATGATGATCGGGGACTGGAAACCAAGCCCTAGGAGGAAAGACTGAAAGAACTGAGCATGTTTAGCTTTGAGGAGAGAAGAAGGAGGGGAGAGAGGGCATCACTTTTCAGGTACTGTACTTGAAAGCCTGTCCTACAGAGGAGGGGCAGGATCTGTTCTCAATTATCCCAGAGTGCAGGACACATCAAAATGGGCTCAAGTTAAAGGACGCCCGATTTAGGCTGATTATCAGGAAAAAGTCTTAACTGTTAGAGCGGTACGACAACAGAATCAATGACCTTAAGAGATGATGTTGAGCACTCCAATGTATCAGGAAAAAGTCTTAACTGTTAGAGCGCTACGACAACGGAATCAATGACCTTAAAGAGATGATGTTGAGCACTCCAACACTGGAAGCATTTGAGAGAACATTAAGACAATCCTTTGTCAGATCTGCTTTGATTTGGATTCCTGCACTGACCAGGGGGTTGGACTTGATGACCTTTGAGGGCCCCTTCCAACGCTGTTATTCCGTAATGCTAAGGCTTCCAAGTGCATCTTCATGGGAATTAGACAATCTGCGCGTTCCCTGCCCAGTTACGGTTTGATGGTAATGATCTGTTTGTCTTAAGCTATTTTAACTTGTTTTATTGTTACTGCATCTGTTTTCATAATAATCTTAGAACTTCAGAGCTGGAAGGGACCCCCACAATCCCATTCAGCCCGTCAAGGGGACCCAGAGGGAGATTCGAACTCTGAATCTCTGGGGCTCAGCAGCCAGATGCCTAAATCACTGTGGATAATCTAAACGGTGGAAAATGGCTCAGGGCCTCCCGCTGTGATTTTACGTGCCTCTTCTTACACTGGTGTGGGAAATGGCCGCTCACTCGCAAATCGAATGCATGGAGTTGTCCAACGCAGTGGGAGGGGTCCCCGTGCGGCTGTGATGTGGTTTTTTTTTTTGGTTCTCCGGGTTGACCCCCTTTCTTTTCCGTCCTTTCCTTTTTCCTCCTCCAGGTGGACGAGGCCATCGCCCTGCGGTACCAGAAAGTCATGGCAGAGTGGAAAGCCTGCGAGGTGATTGTGAAGCTGCGGGAGAAAGAGTCCCAGACGGCCACCAAGTTTTCCTCCGGGAGCAGCATCGACAGTCACGTGCAGCGGCTGCTCCACCGGGACTCCACCATCAGCAACGATGTAAGCGAGGGGGGAACGTCTCCGCCCGAGGGGGGGTCGCAAACCTCTCTGGGGCTTCGAGAAGGTCCGAAAAGCCGGGCTGTTTTCAGATCACGTGTCCCGTCCAGTGGAGGAGAAACTGGTGCCTTATAGATGTTTGGGACTATAATGCCCATCATCCCCAGTTGAAGGCCATTCCATGCAGCCCAGTTGAATTATTTTATTTTATTTTATTTTATTTTATTTTATTTTATTTGTGTGCCACGAGTCTTCCTAAAATGAGTCACGAGGAAGTTTGCCGGAAGGGGGGGGAATGCCCGAGAGGAAACGAGAACCTTGCAGATGTTAAAACTGGACTAAATGTAAGATGGAATTGTTACGAGTCCAACCCAGATGGTCAGCTGTTCGACGTGCCGAATCCCGCCCCCGAATATTTTATTTTATTTTATTTTATTTGTGTGCCACGAGTCTTCCTAAAATGAGTCACGAGGAAGTTTGCCGGAAGGGGGGGGAATGCCCGAGAGGAAACGAGAACCTTGCAGATGTTAAAACTGGACTAAATGTAAGATGGAATTGTTACGAGTCCAACCCAGATGGTCAGCTGTTCGACGTGCCGAATCCCGCCCCCGAATGCGAATCCGGCACCCCTTAAAGTTCTGACTGGAACCAGGGGCGGCGTTGCCAACCTCCACTCAGGCCCCGAGCCCCTGCAATCCACAAAGTGGCCTTGACTGGCTGTCTAATAGAAGCCCAAATTACGAGGACACAGTCGCAAGAGTCGTTTCCCTTTGCTGGAATCTATGGGTACTTCTTGGGGGATCTCTCCCCGGCTATAGGTTTTTTTTTAATGCATATGTAATTTTTGCCACGGCACGCAGCACGAAATCATGGGCCCTACAGATCATGGGTCACTGCAGGAATATGATTTTTATTCTCTCTTCCCCACCCCAAGCCCCAGCATTGGAAATGGGCTCTGAAGGATGTGCTTAGGGTGTAACGTGCGTGGTCCCTGTGTCGTTGTGTGCCCCTCCAGGTCTCTTCGGAGAGAAGAATGGGATATAAAAGGAAATAGAAAATAAAGGAATTGTAAGACGGACAGCCCTGTGGGGAGGCAAAAACAGTTTTGATCTCCTTTTTTAAAGGATAGGTAAGGGTTATCCATTGTGTTTTTGTGTTGCTGCTTCTGACCTGGGACAAACCCATGAATCTGTGGCCTCCAAAAAAATCTTGTTCAGCTCTTAACAACTCAAAGTCATGGCTTCCTTCATTGAGTCAGTCGATCTCATGTCAGGTCTTCCTCTTCTCCTACTGCCTTCTGGTTTTCCTAGCGTTCTTGGCCATTCCTAGCAGCCCCGTCTGTGAGGTTGGCTTTGTATATTGGTTGGTCTGTCTAATGGTTTTGTACAGTAGGACTCTCATATCCACAGGAGTCCTGCAATCTGAAAACTATAAAAATTAATTAATAATTAAAATGTATAATTAATTCAATAATTAAAAAGTAAATGAACTAGAAATATGCTTTCACTATGTATTTGCCAGAACTGGCCACTGGAGGGGGACAGAGACCATGCTATGTATTCTTCGTCCTTACATAGAATGGTCTCTTGATCCCTCTAGTGGCCAGTTCTGGTAGTACATGGTAAAAAAAATTTTTTTTCTGGATTTCATAGAATCATAGAATCATCACAGGGTTAGAAAGGACCTTGGAGGTCTTCTAGTCCAACCCCCTGAGGCCCAAGGCAGAAGACCTCACACCATCCTAGACCTCAGACCATCGCGGACAGATGGCTGTCCCATCTTTTCTCGAAAACCTCCAGCCATGGGGCACCCAGAAACATCGGGAGGCAAGCTCTTCCACCACTTCATGGTTCTCACCGTCAGGAAAGGCCTCCTTATTTCCAGATTGGGTCTCCCTCTGACGAGTTTCCACTTTGTTGGTTCTTGTCTTACCCTCAGGCGCTGTGGAGACTCAATCGGTGCCCTCTTCCCTGTGGCAACCCCTCAGATATTGGTAGACGGCCATCACGTCTCCCCTCAGTCTTCCCTTCGTTAAGCTCAACATACTCAGTTATTTCAGTCGTTCCTCATCGGATTTAGCCTCCAGTCCCCTTATCATCTTTGTGGCTCTTCTCTGCAACGCCTTCCAAGGCCTCACAAATCTTTTTTTGTATTCTGGTGACCAGAACTGGACACAGCTCTCCGAGTGCAGCTTCACCCATGTAGCATCGAGGGGTCCTCTCGCTTCCCGTGGTCTTGACGCGACCCCCCCCCCGTCAATGCAGCCTAGGGTGGTGCGGGCTGTCTTGCGAGCTGCCGCACATGGCTGTTTTCCCATACTACGTTTAGCGTTTGCTATTATCTGCGGTTTTCAGCATCCGCCGGGAAGCTTGGAGCCAATCCCACGCGGATACAGGGGGTTCTGCTGTATATAATTGGACCTTCCTGCGTCGCTTCCACTTTGCTTCTGCTGAATCTCCTTTCGCCGTCCTTCTGCTGAGAATCCATCCTGCAGGCTCATTTAATCTGTCCCTCCACCTTCCCGACCTGTGTTTTTTTCCTGTCAGGTGTTTATCTCCGTCGATGAGATGGACTTGGCCGAGCAAGATCCGAAGGCCCCGAAAGACCCCTCTTTGACCGACGTCGCCCTCGACGCCCCCACAGTCCTGGCGGCCGCCGGGCAACAGCAGTCGGTCGAGTTTGATTCTCCGGACTCCGGGCTTCCGTCTTCACGGAACTACTCGGTCACCTCGGGAATCCTTTCCAGCATCGACGACGGGCAGAGCCTTTGCTTCGAGGACGGGGCCGAGGAGGAGGCGGGCGGCGACCCACCGAGGCCGGATCGAGGGGAGGCCGACCCTGCCAAAGCCTCCGAAACCCAGAAATCGGTCACGGAGGAGCCGAAGCTCTCCGTGTGTTCTGCTGCTTACACGGTAGGTGGTGGCCGAGCTTCGTGGGGCGCATGAGTTGCGGGTGTTGAGCATCCGGTTGAAGGAAACCTTCGGGAGGCGCCCCTGTTATGGGTGTCCCAGTGATCAGACCTGCGCTGGAAGTGGGTGTTTCCCTTCCGCTGACCAATCGCGCGGCTGCGTTCGTGTGCCTTTGTACTCAAATGTCCTCAGATAGTGAAACGCTGTCCCTCAGGAAATCAGGTTCACCTCCTCTCTTTTATTCGTCGGTTGACAGTTAAAGACTTCCTCTCGGGTAGATTTTTAAGGATGACATTTGTGTCTCCATGCTTGTTTTAATGTTTTGAATTTTTATCGTATAATTAATTGGTGGATTGGGATGATTATTGTACGTGTAATTGTTTCTGGGCTGGCTGGAGAGCGCAGGGGTGTAGGTCTCCGGCTGCAGAGCCAAAGGTTGGGAGTTCGAATCCCTCACTGTGCTTCCTGGGAGAAAATCCAGCCCGGGTGGCCTTGGGCAAGTGGCACAGTCCCAGGGTGACCCCCCCCAAGAGGAACATGGTCAGAGGGGCCCTTGTCCTTCACTGTGCTTCCTGGGAGAAAAGCCAGCCCGGGTGGCCTTGACGAAGTGGCACAGTCCCAGGGTGACACCCCCCCCCCAGAGGAACATGGTCAGAGAGGCCCTTGTCCAGCTGATTGGTCCTCTGTGCAGGAAGGCTTGGTTCGTATACATATTTCTGTTGTGTAATTACCAGAACTGGCCACTAGAGGGAGCCAGAGGCCATGCAGTGTATAAAGTTTGCTTTTATCTGCGGTTTCCTGTATCTGCAAAGGGGCTTAGAACCGATCCCTCGTGGATATAGGGAGCCTCCTGTACTCATACATTTTCTTGTCCTCAACAAAAATGGTCCCTTGATGCATCCAGACATCCCGCTGAAAACTCATGTCATCTGCTTCAAGATCTTTCAAACGACAAGAAATGGGGGGAAAAACAGCCCTTTTTTTCATCAGGGAACAGTATTAAGGGAAAAAGTGGTTTTTGAATAAAAGCAGCAGATTTTTATGTGAAATACAAGAGTTTTGTGTGGGTCAGAAACAAAACCTTGCATTTCACTTTAAAAATTTTTTAACAGATTTCTGTTGTTGTTGGCTAAGATGTCTTAAAATAAGAAAAATATACAGTGGCTCCTGTAATCTCACCCAGCAGACAGAACACTTGGAAAATGTCATTTTCACTTTTGACAACAATATAAGAAGAGATTTACATCCTCTGGGTGTATGCAGGAGGGCCCCTGTATCTGCGGTCTCAGTATCCACTGATGCACTTAGCCACAATCTGAAAATATTGAAAGAAAAATTCTAGACAGATACATTTCTAAAGATGAAGATACCCAAAGTGGCCACTAGAGGGGGACGGAGACCATGCTGTGCATTCGCTATTAAAATAGTGTTTGCTATAATCCACGTTTTTCAGCATCCACGGAGGGTTTGGAAGCGATCCCCCATTTGCTATAATCCACGTTTTTCAGTATCCACGGAGGGGTTGAAAGCGATCCCCCGCGGATATGGGGGTCGTGCTGTACCGTTTTATGAAATTCTGGTTAGTCGTGTCGCTTTCTGGTGATCTCTTTATTGGAAGGTGTTTGTTTTTACAGAAGCCAAACGTCAAAATCTGTCGCTCTTCTTGTCTCAGATGCAACAATTTGCCACTGCTTTGTCTCATGCCGAGTTTGTGACTCCTCTGTGTTATCTTCTAGATAGAAATGTTGGACACTGTTGCTTTAAATCTGCATAGGATAGATAAAGACGTCCAACGGTGCGATCGGAATTACTGGTATTTCACCGACGAGAATCTGGAGAAACTTCGCAACATTATGTGCAGGTCGGTTCGACTGGGACCCTGCCAGATGCCAGTCCTGAGGGGCAGGGGCGGAGTCTGGGGGCTCAAGGGGTGGGGCTTGGTAGAGCGAGGCGGAGCCTCAGAGCTCAGAGGGAGTGGTCACTGGGAAACAGGGCGGAGCCTGGCATCTGTGAAGTGAGGGGCGGGGCTTGTTGTATCAAAGGGTGGAGCCTGGTGGAGTGTTCTCGTTATTATTTCTTGTGGGCAAGCTATGTGTTTGTGTATGCGTGCATTTTTAAAAATATTTCAGTTTAAAACGAAAAGATAGATTTGAATTAATACCATCGATCCATAAGGAAAATTCAGGCCAGACATCAGCCTCACTGAAAACATAGGTGCACGTCTTCTCTGCCTTAATGCCCACCCCACATAAACATGACAACATTGTCCCGCTTCTTCTCTAGTGTCCCCCTGGTGGTGTTGAAGGAGCTGAAGCGAAGCAGGCTTGGATTGTACCCACACCCACAAATGTCCAAGATGCAGCACGCAGGGAAATCATTTTTGCTAGCTCAGATCCCATTGAGCTGTACTGGGTGTAGAAGGTTTTGTTGGGTTGAATGGCGAAAGTGCGTAGATTCCAAATTGCCAAGCTAGGAAGAAGTGCACTTAACATATAAAGCACACCTTCCCAACTAATATAGTTCCAAAAAAAGAGCCTTCTTTAGCAGAGGAAGCCCTCTCGGTTCTCTGCACGACTAGCTACAAGTTCCTCAGACAGTCCACCCCTTTCTCACTAGCTCATTAATAGGGCAGAATTTTTGGAATCATGTGGAGGGGGGGAAGTTGCTTGATAATTTCTGGTCTGCTCACCCCACTGCAGTTCAATTTGTTTGATCGAGATTGGTAGTGGTCATCTTTAAAAAAAATAAGGTGTTCAGAAGGATCTGATCATGAAATGTTTCTTGGCTGTGACTCTTCCTTCCTCTTTCTGTTTCAGCTACGTTTGGGAACATTTAGACGTTGGTTACGTCCAGGGCATGTGCGATCTTTTAGCGCCTCTCATGGTTATACTTGATAAGGGTAAGAAAACCATCTGGTCTCTTTTTACTATCCTTGTGCCGTCCTGCATCAATTTCACATGAAGTGTCGTTTTGTCTCAAGTAATCGGATTTTCTGTGTGTAAAAAAATAAAATCAGTATCACGAATTAAAACCAGGGCCAATTCCCCGAGATGTTAACCTTCAAATAGCCATTCCTAGGCATGTTCAGGGAAAACAACTGGCATCTACTTTATAAGACACATTTTTCTGCCAAGACATATGCAGGTTTTTTATGCAGACATAAATGGACAATAGGGTGCAGGCTAGATTCTGCAGAACCTAGACGGGTCCAACTGGAAGACCATCATTAGATTTTGATTCTTGATTGAGGCCTTTTCTTCTAATGATGTAACTTCTACAAGGTAAACTCTGACGTCTCCCAAAAACAAAACAAAAAACAAAACAAAAAACCCAACGAAAACCTTCTGGTAGAGTTCAGATCCAGTCATCGCTTAATTGGCCAAGTTGGACTGGAAATCTAAATGTGCCTTATACCCAGAATTTTGAATGGTTCCTTTCTGAAGACCGGAATTCTCTGAATTCTACCTGGAATGTAGGTTTGGGGAACTGTAATAAAAGGGGAGGAAAATCGCCACCTTTTCTACAGCTCTGCTTCCGTTGTTTCCACTGGTGTGTTTCAACTGGTTTGAAACAGGGGAGGTTGTTTGCAAAATGAGAAACCATTTCATTGTGTCTTAATATTATAACTCGTCGGCCCAAATCCGGTCATGCAAGTACGCTTAAAGGCATAACTTTTAGAAGTCATTTGCTTCAAGTTGAGAAATTCCGGGCTTAATATGCAACAGATAAAGTCTCTTCTTAATTTGCTTCTAAAAAGTTACACCTTTTGTGTAGCCGCACAACAGGATTCTAGCTGTTGTGTTGTCCATGTTAGCATGCTTTTCAGTCTGAGAAAGCAGACTGTAATGCACAGAATTTCACCCCCTGCGATGAATCCGTTTATACTTAAGGAGTTACAGCTCTTGGGGCTTTTGCTGTGATCGTGTTGTGAGCAGGGTTAACTCCTTTGTTGCGTGAAGAGTTGTGTATGATGATATAAAAAGAAAAAAAGGAAAGCAGGACTTGCTTTTGTTATTTGTCAGTGGAAAAGCAGATTAATGTAGAGTAGGACTCCCATATCTGCAGCGTATTGGCTCCAACTCCCCCCACGGATGATGAAAAATGTGGATTATAGCAAACACTATTTTAATAGTGAACGCTATACATAGCATGGTCTCCAGCCCTCTCTAGTGGGTAGCTCTGTTAATGACATGGTAGAAATATATTTCTTTAGTGACATTTATAAATAGAATGGTCTCTGGCCCCCTCTAGTAGCCAGTTCTGGTCACTTTAGAAGATTTTTTTCTTTTAATATTTTCAGACCATGCATACGAGAATCAGTGGATACTGATCCTGTGGATATGGGGGTTCTACTGTATTTTAATTTTAAATTTTTTTAAGATTGACAACTCACAAAAGCAAACTGCGCTGTTGCTCTCTCTCACTCTCTCTCGTTTTCCTTTCAGATGAGCTGGCTTACAGTTGCTTCACCCAGTTAATGAAAAGAATGAGCCAAAATTTCCCAAACGGAAGTGCCATGGACACCCATTTTGCAAACATGCGATCCCTTATCCAAGTGAGTCTTTTCGAATTTATGTGTGCATTTAAAAAAAAAGCTGGGTGGCTCTGTCTTTGCTTTGAAATCTGCACGCCCAGACAAGACAGACGAAACTTTGAGTTAGTGTTGGAGTTTCCGGGGAACTTAGTGTTGGAGTGTTTACAATCTCGCATGCTGCCTGTAATTTGTTTGACTGGGAGGGACCGTATTTGGGCAGTGGCGACTGTCAATCTGTTCAGCACTAGCCAATCACTCCCTCCCACCTCTGAATTCAAAGAGAGCCCCGCCTCTCTGCTGAGTGTTCCATTCCTTTTCTTTTGTCTGTTGGAAACAGTTTTGTTATTTGCTGTTGATCTGTTTGCAACTGTAAGTAATGGAACACGTTTATTTTTCCTCGTTCAAATCTTGCAGTGAGTTAAGTTATGGGGGCTCTTAAGTGCCAGTCAATGAAAAAAGGGTGTGTAGCTCTGTAAGCAAAAGGAATTTGATCAGAAATTCAAAATTCTGCAACACTTACATTGTCTAGAAAGGACAAGGTGGATTCCGATGGGGCAGAGTTTGTCTGGTGGGCTGAAAATCTCTAAGACCCGTTTCTGTGCCGCATTTCTCCCTCGTGACCCCCCTGAAACAACGGCAGATGAAAACCACTTAACCGTTTCTCCTTCCATTCAATGTGTCTTCCCCGCTCTGCCTGCATTGTACGCAATGTTTTTTTCCTGGTAGGGTTCGAGACGGTGGCCGGAATCCAATCCACATTTGTGTAAGGTTTTCAGGATTTTCTGCGGCTAATTATGACTAATTTATGAGGCAGATCTTAGCCATTCAGTTTGGCAATAGATCCAGGTAGATAACAGAGACTCGCTTGGGAGCAGGGTGGATAAAAATCAATGATTTTTATAAAATCAATTTCTGAAATCTAAACCATCAAAAGATTCAAATTTTTGATTTAAATCATGATTGTGATTTAAATCAAACCCATCCTGTTTGGGAGGATGCTGAAAAGTCTGTTTTCAAGGCTTAAGCTTCATCTAGGAACAGCATAGAGAAGAACCCAAACCTTTAACCCATTGACATTAGTAGTGCCAATAAACTGTTGGATAACGGCCCACTCTTCTAGCCCAGCAATGCTGCAGGGGTACTCGGCCTTCATCCTCTGAAACAAGGATGGGCAACTCTGTCCACAGGCTGATTTTTCTGCCCTTGAGATCCTGCAAGAGTATTTGGCTTATTTGGAACGATGTTTAATGCGTTCCAATGGAAATCGCTGCCCCGTTCAGCGATGCTTCAGCATAGCGAAGGTTAATCCGGAACGGATTAACCTCGCTATGCGAGGCACCACTGTAGATCCAGGTAGATAACAGAGACTCGCTTGGGAGCAGGGTGGATAAAAATCAATGATTAAAAAAAAATCAATGGATTTAAATTATAATTATAAATTATAGCCGCCTAGAGTGGTCGAACATGACCAGATAGCCGGGATAGAAATTAAATAAATAAATAAATAAATAAATAAATAAATATAACTTAATATGTTAAAAACTGGATTTTTTGACATTAATTGGTGGTTTAAATCAAAACCACCCTGCTCAGGAGCTTTGTCCGTTAAGAAGCCAAGCACATTAAGGAAGACTTTCCACAAAACTCCGGTAGGGTTTCCAACCCATCCGTTCAAGAAACGTTTGCACGCCGGAGTTCGCCCGGATGCCCCTTAGGATCTGCCTTTTTCGGTTGGCCTATAAGGCTATCACCTCCGAATGGCGTTTAGAAGGCAAAATGTTTAGAGCTGGTCTCTTTTGGTTGTTCCCAGTAAAAGAAAAACCCAGAGACCCTTCTGTCCATGGAGGAATTGCTGCAGCTGCCCCCCTCCCGGCGCCGCCCCGAAAGGCTGAGCTTCGGCACGAGTTCGAGATCAGACAGCCTCCTCTCTCTCCTGTGGAAGGGGAAGACGG